TTTTGTTATTCGAGCCCGTACGTTCTAGCGAAAAAGAGTCTCTATTTCTTAAACAATAATTCTTTAAAAAAAAGGTGCACAAAATTTTAATAAAAGTAACTAATTTTAATAAAGGTATGTGTATCAATGAAAAAATATATATATTTTTATTCACTAAAAGCAAGCAATTTCGAATATCCAACAAGAGCTCAAATGGTTCCAAATTGATAAAAAACAATTCTCTGAAAGTTTTAGCTCTTAATATTAACTTTTAGATAGTGTGCAATTCAATCAAACTTCGTATGGAAATAGCATGGAAAAATTTTTGAAAATTAAAAAAAAAATTAGGTATAACTTAGCGACAAATGAATTAAAAGTGAAAATTCGTGTCATTTTTTATTCGTGTCGAAGTGAAAATTTTTTTATGCTATTTCCATACAAAACTTTGATTGAATTGCGCTCTATCGAAAAGACAATATTAAGGGCTAAAACTTTCAGAGAATTGTTTTTTATCAATTTGGAACCATTTGAGCCCTCGGGGGGTATGGCATCGTGCCTTAAGGCAAATTGCTGGAACTTACCGTACCGTAACAAAATGTTCGAGGAATATTAAATGTTTTTAAATAGACTATTATAAATAAATACTGTAACATTGTCTAATATATTTATAAGAATTATATAAACTGAATTGCAAAGTTGAAATTATTTGTTTAAAGTATATTAGAACTTTAGTCAGAATTAAAATTAAAATCAGAATTATTTTCGATATACAAAGAAAAATGAAAAAAAATTTGAAACAATTTTTTTTTCCAAAATCAATTATTTTGTTAAAACAAGCAGAAAGTTCTTTGAATCATTTAAATCGAACGCTTAGTTCTCTCAAAAACTGCCATTTTTTGCACGTTTAGTTCTGTATCTTCGAAATGGCTGGGCCTGTCTTTGCCAAAAACTAATCATCTCTTCTCCCAATCATTACAAATTGAATGTTTTTTAGATCATTCAAATCGGATGCTCCGTTCTCTCAAAAACTCGATTTCTATTTTCTGCACCCTTTGCTCTTTATCTCCGTAACTGCTGGACCCGCCTTTGCCAAAAACTAATCAGCACATCTCCCTATCAATAGGAATCGAATGTTTTTTGAACCATTCAAATCGGTTGATCTGTGCGCTCGAAAACGTGACTGGAAAATTGTATCCATACATACAAACACACACATTAATTTTTTCTGCCAAAATGTTCAGAAACCTTCAAAACGTCGATAAATGCAAAAATTTTCAATTTCGATTTTTGGACGATTACAATAACTTATCCTACCTAATTATATACATTCAATTTATTATCATTTCTAGCAATTGCATATTTTACAGCCCTATTTTACTCAATAAAAACAAAAATAAAATGAAAAAAAAAAATTATTAAAAATTCTTTCCCGTATCTCCACAATAATGCCGAATAAGGTTGTCGCACACGGTTCAACACTTGTTTGCGAAACTGCGTGCACCTATACATAATGTAATGTGTCAGTTTGAAAATTGATTGCGTGCATATAGGTTCAGTATGTAGAGGTGCAATGTGACATTAAAGCTAATTCAACACAGCTTTCGATTTCAATTATGTCATATGAATATATTAAAGAAATTATACCGTTGTGCGAGTACGATGAACACATTTACAAACTGTAAATATAAGTGTTAAGCATAACTTTCTTCAGCGCGATGGTGAACTAACTTTGCTCTTGAATGTGATACATGAGCGATGTATAAAACGCTACACAAAACATCATAATAAAAATCGAAAGTAATTAATTTTTTTCATCTATTATTTTGATAACTAATTGAAAAATTGGTAATTTGTATGAGTTTTTATTGCTTACAAAAAATTTTATATATAGAAAGACATAATAAAATTATATGAAATTATTAGCAAAAACAGAATACAAATATCTTCTACCTTATTCGCGGAAGATACGTTCTATTCAAACTGTGATTTATATGGGATTATAGAAATTGTAGTTTTTGAATATTTTGATTAATTATGTTCAGGCTAATTTGTAATATTTCCTTGATCGGCAGTTTTTAACAGCTTCTTCAATTTAAACTACAGATACAATACTCAGCAGTCACATCAGCAATTTGCTTCTTAAAAATAAGACTTCGTTCCATATACGGATCAATGTTCATATAAAAATAGCACAGATCTCAAATCAGATCAGATATTTGAATCTGGACTAAGATTAAGACTTTAGATTTTAAATCTTGACCAAGTTTTTAAAATTAAATATCACGTTTTTATTGCTTGTTGAAGGAAAATAATTGCTCTTCTTCAATATACTGATTATGAGTATGTTTTGTTTCATGTCGGTATGAGTCAAATGTTATAATAGAACGGAAAAGCAACATTTAAAAATATATTTTATTCATTAAATAGTGAACAAGGCCGTTTCAGAGGTTTCTGAACATTTTGGCATACCTTAGAAAAAATGGATGTATGTGTGCGGATACAAATTTTCGTCGACGATTCCGGGAACACGGTTAAACCGATTTCAATTATTCAAAAATCACTCGATTGCTGTTGATAAGGAGACGTGCTGATTAGTTTTTGGCATAGACAGGTCTAGTCGTTTCGAAGATACGGGGCAAAAAGTGCCACGAACGGTAACTCAGTTTTTAAGAGAACAGAGTGTCCGATTTTAATAATTCAAAAAACATTTTATTTGTATTGACAAGATGAACAACCTTTTAAATTTTCATGAAGGCAGATCTAGCGGTTTCGGAGATCTAGTAAAAAAAGTAAAAAAAAATGCCATTTGGCGGTCAAAAATGATCATTAAACATATGCACATCAAATTATCAGATATTTTATAGAGATTTTAACAATAAGTATAAATTTTGTTTACATTCCTATGGGTTCGGTACCAATGCTTATCCGTTAGACGGCGGCGCGGCGCTTACGCGCTTCGATATTTCGTCTCTATGCAGTTAAAGCAGTACGATTGAAAAAAAGTTCAGAATTTCCAAAATATTTCAAAATACACTTTTCTTCAAAAAGTCTTTTTTTCAAAAAAAAAAAAGGAAATTTTTGTCAAAAATTTATAGTTTCTCAAAAATCTAATTTTTCAGAGTAAATTTTTTTCAAAAATGTTAAACTTTTAAAAAAAAAAAATTTTGGTACGGGAAGTTCCAGCAATTTGCCTTAAGACACGATGCCAAGCGCCCCACTAGTTATTCTGTTTGTTTATATTCCCAAAAACACCGAAAGCGGCGAAGAGGGCCAAGGCAATGAAGACGGTTTATGTCAAAGTTCTTTTTATTATTCCAAAATGACGGCAATTACAAAGAGTATTGGGTTCGATATACACCGGAGTCCGCAAATAACGAAATGTTTAGCCGCGAATATAGGAATTAGATCGCATTTTTTTTGCCCGCGAATAAGAAACTTCTATCATACCAATAAATAAATAAATGTTATCAGTACATAGTTCAGAGAACAGAGTATAGTACCTGCTCCTCGATAGCCGTAAATTTCAAAAACCAGTCCCTCATAAAGTACGACGTTCATTTATTCATTAGTGCATTTTAAACACGCACTTACAAAATGCGTGGCCAGATTTAGGTTCTGACAGCTACATAAACTAACTAAAGAGCAATATTACCTGTGGTTAATTAAAGATTTCTCTTTCCTATCCCTTTTAGGTGTTTATTTATATTGGAAATTCCATTTGCCATCTATATATCTACACGAGTAAATATTTTATTTTACATTTACAGGATGTTTTGAAAGCAATAAATCAAGCGTTACTACGAAAATAAATACTGGCGTACAAGAGCACAAGTTTTAGTTATGAAATAAAATTAACTTCAAAGCTTTTGTGTTGTTTCGGATGTAATTGCCACAAAAATCATTTATCTAATTTCAATCCACTTATTTAATCCAATAAAATTTATCCTTACAACATTTGCTTGATATATGTGAAACCGCAATACTTGTGAAATTCAATGTCAAAAGATGAGTAAAATTTTCATTTAATAAAAACACGAATTTCAACAATTTAATATCAAATGACTAATAATTATAAGTAGTCTGATAAGATAACAAGTGTTAGCTTTGTTGAAGCAAATTGTGATAGTTGTAAAAGTAAGACAATAAGTAATCCTTTGAATTATCTGAAAAATTTTCATGAAAATTGATCTTTCGAAAGATTGTCTACGAAAAATTATACGAGAGTGAACTGTTATAATGGGACTAGATTGTTCATCTGCATAGTTTACATTTCAGTTCATTGCTATGATGAGCAATTATAGAGTTAATTGCACAAAATACGAAATAAACACTATGCGGAGTGTACTGTCGGAGATAACACTTCGCGCGTCGTTTGATAACGCGTCTCAACTGAATAGACATACTCTATGTGACTGAAAAAGGATCTGTTGATATTACAGACTTAATGAAAATCTGGTCTATGTTCAGCTGTCATGGCTTCATAATAAACAACGGGATATTATATTATAATGAATGTCTGTAGTCGAATCACAAACAGTCGAACAAATGGAACGAAATCGTATTGGGCGTCATCTAAAAATAGCAAGTATACAACATGCACAGATAAAGAGACAGCAGGATCTCTACGGCAAGCAGTCCAGCTTCCAATGTCAACGCAAGCCATAGAAAATCCCACCAGCGCACTTCTTGTAGCATACATTGGACATATCAATGTACACAACAAGCAAATACGACAACAAAATTACAAAAGCCGAACAAGTCGGCATACACGTGCGTGTGTGAATGACAGTCGCAAATTGACTTTCATCGGCGCGTATCATCACAAACCTGCGGTACGCGTTTGACAGCGATCCCTCGATGGATAATGAAAGAAGTAATATGTTGTCAAATATCGCCTTTTTGTATTATAAACCAAGAGCAAAAAAGCGGAAGGGAGATATTTGACAACCTAATATTTCGCGCACATTGTGAACAACAATACAGTGATAGATATATTAGATAAATTTTCGAACAGAACTTACCAAACACCGGACTATGATCCGATCTCGACGCATTTTTGTTGGCGGTGTATCCAGTCGCTGACTTTTCCTGTAAAACATAACAAATCACTGAGAACTTGTACTGCTTCGACACAAATTGCAGTGCGCACAATTGATAATTGAATACACAATAAGGTGTAAGTTGTAAGGTGTAATTAGCACCTCGGATTCAGTGAGATCGATGAGACTCGACTTTTCCTCGAGAAGATTCTCTGAGGAGCGCTTCTCATCCTCGCCATCTCCTTCGACATAGAAGACCTTCACTTCGTCAGTACTGCCCAGGTCGTCGCCCCCACTGGCGCTGTGTGCGTGGGGCATCTCGCGAGTCTTATCTGCTCTATCCTCGCAGCGAGAGCACCGGGGCGACCGGCCCGATCGCCCGCAACGGCTTTCAACGACACCCGAAGGACGTTTGTCCCTCGCGCATTTCTTATCTTTGTACACACGCCATCATCATCGTCCGCGACGACATCGCACTCTCTACTTAACACACAACAATAACAAAACCAAAACAAAACAATATTCAATACACTGCACAGCGGGAGACGCGCGAAGGACTCACTGACAGATGATCGAAGAGACAAACAAACAGAAACACACAACATATACGATCGGCAAACAATAATCGCGATCTTCCGAACCGAACACTGATTTTAATTTTTATCACAAAACACTGTTCTGATATTGACACTAGATGTGCTAATACTATTCCGCGTGTCCTGTACAAGGACAATATCGAGTTATTAATGTTGTCAATAAGCGCGGCAACGTGTGTTTACAAATTGAATCGAACTCGTCGTGAATATTGTGAGATTGCGCGTGAACGGAGTACAGCGTTAACCACGCGGGGTCTATTTCGTGAATGTCGGGCGACACACGATGCTCGCGCTCCGCGCTCACACTTCACTGTCGGCGTCCGCAATCGTGTTGGCTCGGGTGCCGCCGTCACGGCTCGGCTCCTGGATCTGTTGTGCATCGCATGTGATCGAGGATGCGGGCGACGCGGGCGAAGCGAGCGGCCGAGGGAGCACGAGGGACGCTCTCGTCCGCCGGGCGGTGGCGGTGGGCCGACGGGCTGCCGGATGGCTGCAGCTGTATAGCCGTATAGCAGTATGTAGCGGTCGCTATACGCTGTACAGCACGTCGGCGTATGCGTCGCAGCCCGTGAACGTCATAGAAACGCGGAACTCGACGTCAGCGTTAGCGTTAGCACACTTGTGCAGAGACGGCCTTCCTCCCTTCCGCGGGAAAGCGACGCCAATATCGCGATGTGAGGGTGGAAGGCGAAAGCTTTGCTAGCGGTCGGTTTGCGAGATGCTATTTAGACGCGACCAATCACAGAGGTGCTTTGATCTGACCGAGAACGAACGACTTTAGGCCGCGCCTAACACCTCATCCCTTATATTCGCGTTACAATTCTACTTCTACGAGAGGGTGAACTTTGCCTTATATATGGAAATTCCTCTGTCGAGTTTTCACAGAAAAATAATTGCACGATTTCCGATAATCTTATGCCTTACTGAGAAATTTGTGTTTCAAAGTTAAATATTATTTTGTGCATTTCCGCTGCAATGTTTCATTCATTATATAAAAACTGAATACATAAAAATGAAGTCATCTGAAAAGTTTTAATGTTTTACTTGTATTTTATCGGGTTATGATATACAATTTGAAATCCTAACATCCTTAAACATACTAAGACATTTATAAAACTTAATTATATGAGTACATTAAAACTTTAAAGCGAATTATGGGAGTTTGCTGTATCTAGGTAAAGTTGACAAGTCCGTACTAAATTTAATAATAACATAATTAACAAATTAAATTGCAAAACAAGATAATATATATATATATATATATATATATATATGTTTTAGGATTGGATTTATTATAATATTAATATAATTTAATTTGAAGTAATACTAAAGTAACTAAATAATTATAATATTGAGAAATTTCAAACTAATATTTACGGCTAGT